TTCTTATTAGTATGGTTTAGGGTTTAATTCTATTTCCCCTGGTATTAAATATTTGTACATAAAAAAATGTATCTGAATGCCTCTGCAAAGACAGTGATTATGTATGAGTGATGGTGAAAGTGTTGAATGATGATGTAAGTTTTTTCGTTCTTTTGGGGTCTTTCTTTTTGGGTCAAAAAAAATGCACTTCCAGTGTATGAGCCCATTTTCTTTAGAAATATTTTCCTCTCATCACTCTCAATAGATTCTAGATCTGTGCTTAATGAAATTAGGAGGAGGTGCGGGATTACCAAAACTGTTGTCCAGAGGGCTGAGGAAGGGTTATTGAGGTGGTTCGGACATGCAGAGAGAATGGAGCGAAACAGAATGACTTCAAGAGTGTATCAGTCTGTAGTGGAAGGAAAGCGGGGTAGGGGTCGGCCTAGGAAAGGTTGGAGGGAGGGGGTAAAGGAGGTTTTGTGTGCGAGGGGCTTGGACTTCCAGCAGGCATGCGTGAGCGTGCTTGATAGGAGTGAATGGAGACAAATGGTTTTTAATACTTGACATGCTGTTGGAGTGTGAGGAAAGTAACATTTATGAAGGGATTCAGGGAAACCGGCAGGCCGGACTTGAGTCCTGGAGATGGGAAGTACAGTGCCTGCACTCTGAAGGAGGGGTGTTAATGTTGCAGTTTAAAAACTGTAGTGTAAAACACCCTTCTGGCAAGACAGTGATGGAGTGAATGATGGTGAAAGTTTTTCTTTTTCGGGCAACCCTGCCTTGGTGGGAATCGGCCATTGTGTTAATAATAAAAATAATAAATTTTCTGTTCACCATAATTAAAAAATGAAAAACAGCTTGCATGATAGAATATTTGTGGAAAAACATGTCAAATTTGGATGCTAATACTATATAAATAAATATAGTTTTTCTCCTTAAACTAATATACGTACTACATATCTTTTAGCATTTTGATTGAAAAGTGCATTTTATAAATATTCAAAATTTGAACAGTACGTATGTCCAGAATATTAATGATCATTGTATAGTTATTAGAGGTTGACTTCCCGCTCTCTTTTTCTTGACCACTTCCACTCTCATTCTTATGCCATCGCTGTGTACACAGATGGCTCTAAATCTTCTGACGGCGTCGAATTCCCAGCAGTGTTTCCGGACAGCGTCGTGCGAGGGCATTTACTATCTTCGGCTAGCATTTTTACTGCTGAATTGTATGCCATTCTTGCAGCACTTATTCGTATCGCATCTATGCCTGTCATCATCATTTGTGGTTGTCTCAGACTCCCTTAGTGCTCTACAGGCTATACGGAAATTTGATACACCTCACCTCCTAGTTCTCCGTATCCAACTTTGGCTACGCCGTATCTCTACCAAGCATAAAGATATTGTTTTTTGTTGCATCCCTGGTCATGTTGACGTACAGGGCAATGAACAGGCAGACACTGCTGTGCGGTCAGCAGTACATGACCTACCAATTTCATATAGAGGTGTTCCATTTCCAGACTATTTTGCTATAATAGCTACCCACCTTCACACCCGTTGGCAACAACGTTGGTCAACTTTACTCGGTAACAAACTTCATTCTATTAACCCTTAAACGGTCCAAACAGATCGACGTTCAAATTCATAGTGCTACAAAAGTAGATCTAGTTTTTTTTACATATTTTCAAATACAACAAAAAAAAAATGTAGATAAAAGTTTTTTTTACACGTTTTCAAATGTAAAACAAAAAAGAAGACCTATATTTTTTTACATACTTTCAGATGTTGAAAAAATGTATATATACGTTTGGACTGTTTAAGGGTTAAATCGAGCATAGGTTACTGGCCATCTTCTTGTCATCAGTGCCGAGGTTGGGAGACTACTCTCTCCCGCCTTCGCATTGGCCACACTCATCTTACTTGTGGGTATCTCATGGAGAGGCACCCTGTTCCTCTCTGCGAGCAGTGTCAAGTTCCAGTATCAATTAGCCACATTCTGATAGACTGCCCTCTCTATCAACGAGCATGCAGAATTTACCTCCAACGTCGTCTCCGCTCTCCTACTCTCTCTTTACCTTCCCTTCTTGCTGATGGACCCTCCTCTAATCCTGACTCTCTCATTGACTTCTTGACAACGACTGACTTATTCTACAAACTCTGATGATGATACCTTTGCACTCCCCTCAGCCCTTTCTACCTCAATCTCTTGCTGCCCTCTACCCTTTCACCATCTGCTGCCCCACCGTTCTCCATAACCTATTACTCATCCATCTCCTTTTTTGCCACCTGATACCCTCACTTCCTTCCTGCCCTGCAGTGCTGTATAGCCCTTGTGGTTTAGCGCTTCTTTTTTATTATAATAATAATCTTGGTAGAATATACAGTATGTAACTGAAAATTAATGAATAAATTCCAAGGAATGAGTTCATAGGATAATAGTGGGCTATGATTAAACAAATTAGTTGTATCTAATGCCAGTGATTTCTGTATTAAATTGTTCATCCTTTAATAATTTTACCTGTAAAAAATACAGTATTGATTTGCAAAACTTACCTAGTTCACTTTCTACAGGAAATTTAATTGCCCTGAAATTTATACTCAGATTTCGAAAGGAGTGGATACAAATGGGCGAATTTCAAGGGTGGCTGTCAGAGGGCAGTGCTCCAGATCGAGCGTACTGTACTGTGTGCAGTAAGGAACTCTTGGCTGGCAAGTCTGAATTATTGAAGCATGCAAACGGAAAGAAACACAAGAAGAGGTTAGAAGAGGGACACATAAACATGACAGTTCCAACAGACTTATCAAGTGTCCTTGATGGAACTGCAATCCCACATGTGCTGGTATAATACATGCAACTTTCTTATTTAAAATTGAAAAGTAGATTCAATTAAAATATTGCACTGTAATGTAATATTATTACTAATGAGGTTAACCCTTAAACTGTTCAAACGTAGATCTACGTTTACGCGTGTAGTGCTCCAACCTTGATTTTCTCCGTAAGAAAGCATGTAAAAAAAAAAAGTAGATCTACGTTCGGAGCGCTACGCAAGCGAATGTATATCATCTATCTTTGGACAGTTTAAGGGTTAAGACAGCACTTATAATGATATTTTTTTCTTCAGCAAATAGTTGATTTAAGAAGTGACACTGTGACGCAACCAAGTAGAGAAATGAAAGAAGCCATGTTCGATGCTCCAGTTGGAGATGATGTGTTCTCAGAAGACCCTACAGTCAAAGGTTGGTGTATGTGTACTATTGCTGTAAGAATTCAAACATACAGTAATTTGTGCAATTTTAAGCAATGTAATAATTATGAGAGTATGGGATATACAGATGACTTTACTGTGCATACTAATAGGTAAAATTTTGCATCACATTTATGACATTGGGATGAAATTTGGTAAAAATAAAAGTACATGTAGTCAAAATAGAAGATCAGTGTGTGAACAAAAGAAGACTTGCTTCTGCTTAGCTTCATGGGTAGGCTTGATAGAACCTGAATGTGTCCCTTTGCTTGAATAGAGGGTTTGTAAAGGTAGAAAGTTGAGAGTGAACTTAGATAAGAGTAAGGTGATGAGGGTATCAGACGATTTGAAGAAGAATTGGATATCAGATTGGAGAGAGTATGAAAGAAGTAAATGTTTTTAGATATTTGTGAGTTGATTTGTCAGCGGATGGGTTTATGGAGGATGAGGTTAACCATAGAATTGATGAAGGAAAAAAAGGTGAGTGGTGCGTTGAGGTATCTGTGGAGACAAAACACGTTGTCCATGGAGGCAAAGAAGGGAATGTATGAAAGTATAGTGGTACCAATGCTCTTATATGGGTGTGAAGCTTGGGTTGTAAATGCTGCAGTGAGGAGGCTGCTGGAGGCAGTGGAGATGTCCTGTCTAAGGGCAATGTGTGGTGTAAATATTATGCAGAAAATTCGGAGTGTGGAAATTAGAAGGTGTGGAGTTAATAAAAGATTAGTGAGAGGGCTGAAGAGGGGTTGTTGAGATGGTTTGGTCATTTAGAGAGAATGGATCAAAGTAGAATGACATGGAGAGCATTTAAATCGGTAGGAGAAGGAAGACGAGGTAGGGGTCGTCCTCGAAAAGGTTGGAAGGAAGGGGTAAGGGAGGTTTTATGGGCGAGGGGCTTGGACTTCCAGCAGGCGTGCGTGAGCGTGTTCGATAGGAGTGAATGGAGACGAATGGTATTTGGGACCTGACGATCTGTTGGAGTGTGAGTAGGGTAATATTTAGTGAAGGGATTCAGGGAAACTTGTTATTTTTATATAGCTGGACTTGAGTCCTGGAAATAGGAAGTACAATGCCTGCACTCTAAAGGAGGGGTTTTGGGATATTAGCAGTTTGGAGGGATATGTTGTGTATCTTTATACATATATGCTTCTAAACTGTTGTGTTCTGAGCACCTCTGCAAAAACAGTGATTATGTGTGAGTGAGGTGAAAGTGTTGAATGATTATTAAAGTATTTTCTTTTTGGGGATTTTCTTTCTTTTTTGGGTCACCCTGCCTCCGTGGGAGACGGCCGACTTGTTGAAAAAAAAAATAAATATATATATGATATAGTATATACATGTAAGTTTTTTTTTTTAATAAACCGGCTGTATCCCACTGAGGCAGGGTGACCTAAAAAAGAAAAGAAAGATTTTTTTTTAAATTTAGTAATTTATGCAGAAGGGGTTGCTCCCAGCATTTTAGTCCCCTCTTCTGACACGCATGGAAGAATTCTGTCCCACTTCCCCATGGAGAGTTGTACAAGTATAGTAAGTAATTAAGGTACATTTTGTAAATAAAACTTGTCTAAGTGTTGTCAACTATGACATCCTGTAGCCAGTTTTTAACCTCACTAGTTTAAGATTATTTTGTTTCTAATTGTCTCTTTTTTTTTTTCATTTCTGTAATGAAGCATTGGAGGAAAAAGTTGCCAGAATGTTAGAGAAGGAAGCTGCACTCTTTGTTCCCTCAGGCACGATGGCTAATTTAATATGTGGTAAGTTAAAAATGTTTTTTATGATGTATACTCCATTGGTATCAGTTTTACACTAAATATTGTCTTGCCAGTGAGAACCCAAAACCCCTTCTGGGTGGGTAAATATCTGTCCGGCATAGAACCAAAGTTTTGGTTTGTTAAGTATTTGTTGTGCAGCTTGAGAAGTAATATAAAATTAACTAAAAAGGTATTTTTATGCTGTAATTTTTTTAACACGCTGGCCATCTCCCACTGAGGTGGGGATAGAGTAATGTATCTTCCATTATTGAGGGTTGTAACTTATACAGTATGCGAGTACATATCTCCTTTGAGCCATATATTCCTCAGCTCTGTTCTTTCATCTTTTAGATGCTGTTCCTCATTCCATATAGTATCTCTTTTTAAATTAAATATTTTGTTCAAGTTTATTCATATGATATATCAGTTTTTTTTATTGTTTAGTGGCCTTATATCCTCTTATAGATTAATTTAATCTAGTTTCAGGTAACGTATTGAATATGGTATTATTATTACATTCACAAGAAAGTGCTAAACCTGAATGGAAACTAATTACATAACAGTAAATTATTTACATTATTTTGAACCCTGTAATATATTTCAGATGGAAAATTACACTGCTATAAATCAAAAGAGACTTCTTTTTATTATGTGTCTGATCACAGATGCCTTCATCATTGCTAGGAATCCTGGGCAGGTCAAGACGTGCGGGCATGTCTCCTTGCACTTTCTTCCTCTGTTTACCTAGAAGTCAATAGATATTGTTTATATGTTGTGGGTTGCATCCTTGGGAGGGTTACTACTTCAAATAAGGAGACCTTGATAAGCCAGGTCTTTCCTGTTTTTGACACTGGTATATTATGTAGGTACAGTACAGTTGAAACACATTGGGAAGAAAACCTTGGCATGCATGTACTATATACCAGTAATACTGTATATGTAGTAATATAGGTAATATAGGTAGTAGGTTGGTAGACAGCAACCACCCAGGGAGGTACTACCGTCCTGCCAAGTGAGTGTAAAACAAAAGCCTGTAATCGTTTTACATGATGGTAGGATTGCTGGTGTCCTTTTTTCTGTCTCATAAACATGCAAGATTTCAGGTACGTCTTGCTACTTTTACTTACACTTAGGTCACACTACACATACATGTACAAGCATATATATACACACCCCTTTGAGTTTTTTTCTATTTTCTTTCTAGTTCTTGTTCTTGTTTATTTCCTCTTACCTCCATGGGGAAGTGAAACAGAATTCTTCCTCCATAAGCCATGCGTGTTGTAAGAGGCGACTTAAATGCCGGGAGCAAGAGGCTAGTAACCCCTTCTCCTGTATATATTAATAAATGTAAAAGGAGAAACTTTCATTTTTCCTTTTGGACCACCCCGCCTTGGTGGGATACGGCCGGTGTGTTGAAAGAAAGAAAGATGTGTTAATCTTGTCAGTGATTCAAGTTTCTTTGAAGTAAAATAGATATAGTACAAATTAGGCAATTACATAAATGTTAAAGATATTAAAATGAAAATTAAAGTACAGTAGCAAATCTCGGCAAACAATTCTGGACAGAAATCTTTGAATGAGGAAATTTAATTTATGTTGTACTGTATGTGATTTTAGAAAAAATATAGGTCCTGTATTGCAAATTGATTTTTTGATTTGTATGCAAAAGAAGAAAATTAAAAGTGAATACAGGAAAGAGTAAGGTTATGAGGATAACAAAAAGATTAGGTGATGAAAGATTGGATATCAGATTGGAGGGAGAGAGTATGGAGGAGGTGAATGTATTCAGATATTTGAGAGTGGACGTGTCAGCGGATGGGTCTATGAAAGATGAGGTGAATCATAGAATTGATGAGGGGGAAAAGGGTGAGTGGTGCACTTAGGAGTCTGTGGAGACAAAGAACTTTGTCCTTGGAGGGAAAGAGGGAAATGTATGAGAGTATAGTTTTACCAACCCTCTTATATGGGTGTGAAGCATGGGTGATGAATGTTGCAGCGAGGAGAAGGCTGGAGGCAGTGGAGATGTCATGTCTGAGGGCAATGTGTGGTGTGAATATAATGCAGAGAATTCGTAGTTTGGAAGTTAGGAGGAGGTGCGGGATTACCAAAACTGTTGTCCAGAGGGCTGAGGAAGGGTTGTTGAGGTGGTTCAGACATGTAGAGAGAATGGAGCGAAACAGAGTGACTTCAAGAGTGTATTAGTCTGTAGTGGAAGGAAGGCGGGGTAGGGGTCGGCCTAGGAAAGGTTGGAGGGAGGGGGTAAAGGAGGTTTTGTGTGCGAGGGGCTTGGACTTCCAGCAGGCATGCGTGAGCGTGTTTGATAGGAGTGAATGGAGACAAATGGTTTTTAATACTTGACGTGCTGTTGGAGTGTGAGCAAAGTAACATTTATGAAGGGGTTCAGGGAAACCCGGCAGGCCGGACTTGAGTCCTGGAGATGGGAAGTACAGTGCCTACACTCTGAAGGAGGGGTGTTAATGTTGCAGTTTAAAAACTGTAGTGTAAAGCACCCTTCTGGTAAGACAGTGATGGAGTGAATGATGGTGAAAGTTTTTCTTTTTCGGGCCACCCTGCCTTGGTGGGAATCGGCCAGTGTGATAATATAAAAAAAAAAACTGATAATGTAAAAATTAGCCAGTTAAATTAGATATACATATACTAAAGTAGACTACAGAAGCTGTACTCAAGAGTATGAAACAAACCACTCAGTAGAACATAAGTCAAATGTGAGAGAACTGGGAGTGATAATGACAGAAGATCTCGCGTTCGAGGAGCACAACAATAGTATTATTTCAGCTGCAAGAAAAAGATAGGTTGGATAACTAGAACTTTCAAAATAAGAGATGCCAAGCCAATGATGATACTCTTCAGGTTGCTCATTCTCTCTAGGCTGGAATTGCTAGGCAGGTGAAATTGCTTAGCTGGAAAATGTACAGAGAACCTTCACAGTTCATATAAACTCAATTTCTTTCAACATACCAGCCATATCCCACTGAGGTGGGGTGGCTCAAAAGGAAAAACGAAAGTTTCTCCTTTTAAATTTAGTAATAGTAGGGGTCGTCCTCGAAAGGGTTGGAGAGAGGGGGTAAAGGAGGTTTTGTGGGCAAGGGGCTTGGACTTCCAGGAAGTGTGCGTGAGCGTGTTAGATAGGAGTGAATGGAGACGAATGGTACTTGGGACCTGACGATCTGTTGGAGTGTGAGCAGGGTAATATTTAGTGAAGGGATTCAGGGAAACCGGTTATTTTCATATAGTCAGACTTGAGTCCTGGAAATGGGAAGTACAATGCCTGCACTTTAAAGGAGGGGTTTGGGATATTGGCAGTTTGGAGGGATATGTTGTGTATCTTTATATGTGTATGCTTCTAAACTGTTGTATTCTGAGCACCTCTGCAAAAACAGTGATAATGTGTGAGTGTGGTGAATGTTGAATGATGATGAAAGTATTTTCTTTTTGGGGATTTTCTTTCTTTTTTGGGTCACCCTGCCTCGGTGGGAGACGGCCGACTTGTTGAAAAAAAAATATATATATATATATATACAGGAGAAGGGGTTACTAGCCCCTTGCTTCCGGCATTTTAGTTGCCTCTTACGACACGCATGGCTTACGGAGGAAGAATTCTGTTCCACTTCCCCATGGATATAAACTCAGTTAAGTACCTAATTTACTGGGAGTGCCTGAAGTCCATAGAGCTGTACTCCTCAGAATGTAGATGAGAAAGATACATGATAATCTACACCTGGAAGTCTGGAGAAATGGTTCCTAAACCTGCACACCAAAATAACTACTGTACTCATGAACACAAGTGGCTTGGTAGATGGTACAGGATATCGCCAATGAAAAGCAGGGTAAAGATGAATACATTGAGAGAGAGAACTCAAGAAGTATAATGGAGCTGACTCCTCAACACCCTCCCTTCATACATAAGGGAATATTACCAACAGACCTCTCCTAGCTGCCTTCAAGAGGGAACTCAACAAATTCCTCAAAACAGTTCCTGATCATTCAGGTTGTGATGCATAATTAGGACTGTGGGCATTAACAGTTTGATTGATCATATCAGCAACCAGGAGGCTTGGTCTGGGACTGGGTGGCAGGGGTCATGACCTCTGGAAGTGAATCCACATAACCTCCAGGTAACCATAATGTTAAGCTTTAAGCCTGTGCAGTACTTATGTATATATGTATGTATATACAGTACTGTATTTGTATCTAGGCTTTCTTAAAGATACAGCATACCCAACACTCTCAAAAAACAGGTGTCTATGGTTAAGTAACCTGTTAGGAAGAAAACAAATCCCATTACAGTTAACTAATCATATAATTCATGTCTTCAGTTTTGACACACTGCTGGGGTCGTGGGTCAGAGGTTATCGTTGGCGACCAGAGTCACCTCCACCTGTGGGCCCAGGGAGGAATTGCTCAGGTATTGCTTCAGTGTATTCCAGACTATTCAGCTATAGTTTCAAAGTTACTGTCTCTAGTCATGTGATACCCTTTAAGGGCTCTTGATCCAAAGAACTGGAACTACTCTCCTTTTTCTTGGATTGAATGCTTCCCATTTTCCTGGCACTGTATGACTCCTATGGGTTTAGTGCTCCCAAATGAATTATTGAAAAAAAAAAAACACAAATTGTGATAGCTTACACTATGTTTATTCCAAATAAACATGCCCCGAGTTATTGTATTTTTTGTCTTTTTCCACAACTTTTTGGTATATACCATTTCTCAATGAACATAATAATTATTTAGTCTTGTAATAAATATACCTGTACAGTATCATTATGAAGTGTTTGCTGATTTATTATTATGGTAGTACTTATAGAACTCGGCCTTCATCTTAGCACTGAAACTATTTTGCCCTACATAATAATTTTTTTTTTTTTTTTTTCAACAAGTCGGCCGTCTCCCACCGACTTGTTGCCTCACAGGTAAATTCAGGTGAAGAAGAATGATGATATAGAAAAAAGTAAAATATATTAAGGTAACAAAAATGCAGAGAGAAAGAGATACCTTTTAAATGTAGAAATAAATGTAAAATACCAGATAACCATCTGAGGGGTGAGGATGCTGCAGCTTTAGAGCACATCTGAACTGTGATGTCAGTCACTCCTGGAAAGACAGTCATTGAATGAATGACAGTCATTGTGTATCCTCTCTTTTGGGTCACCCTACCATAGAGGGAGATGGCTGGCGTGTTAAAAAGAAAATATATGAGCTGGTATATTAATGTGGACAGAATAACAATTTAGTGACAATAGAAGTTTTTCTCTAACTTGAGGGATTGTCTGATAAGAGTGAACATTAAAATGGTATAAAATACTGACAGGTTATTAGGTAAGACACATATGCAACAGTTAGGTATCTTAATTTCAAAATTAAGATACCTAACTGTTGCATATGTGTCTTACCTAACATTGTCTGATAAGATTATTACTTTTAATTACTTTTTTTTTTTTTTTTTTTTTTTGAAATGACACTTCAGATCTTATATGCACACATTTACCTAGCTGTGTTTGTGGGGTTTTGAAGTTTAGCTCATGGGCACTGCCTCTCAACCACTAATCTGTTTGAATTGGTTTACTATTTTAATGAACAAGTTATGTTACAGGAGTGAAAGTACAATAAATAATTTTACAAAAAGAAAAAAAAAAAAAAACTGATCTCATACATTTGTACTTTTTGATATAAATTTTCCCTAATCTAATTTAGGCCAAGACCCCTTTCTAGTGAGCTAAAAATTATATTATACACTAACACTTTTCTGTCAAACATTTTATAATCCTGTACACTTTAATTGGACTGTTATAGTTAATTCAATGCATTAACAGAGGACTTTTTATAAAATAATCTAAGCATAAGATAGGGCCAAAATATTTTTAAGATGACAAATTTTAGAAGGAACTAAAATTATTTTCCATCATTTTATAACAGACTTTTGATTTTAGTAGTTTTAAATACAGGCTCATTGGTCCTGGACTTGTTTTTACTTCCATTTTTTATGCTTGTATTATTGGACATATTAATTGTATTCTAGGTTGGAAGTGTCCATCACCGCTCTATAAGAAATCTGCCAGATGGAACATTCTCACTTCAAGATTTAAGGTCCTTGGTTCGAGGTGATGACCCCCATTGGCCAGTTACTACCTTGGTATGTGTTGAAAATACTCATAATATGATGGGAGGAAAAGCTCTTCCTCTACAGTGGGTGGATGATGTAAGTGCATACATTGATAATTTAGCTGAAAATAAGACTAGCTCAGACTTTTGTTTTTTTTTAATAAAATGTTGAATAGATTGTGCTTCATCTTGGTTGTAATATTAGGATTTTATATACATGTACTATTTTATTTCCTTAGGTTATATTAGGATTTTATATACTATTTTATTTCCCTAAAGTCTGTTATGTATATTTTTAGCATTTTAATTTATTAAGTGCTGTTCATGTATTGGGCATAGGCTTTTAATTGATTTTCTAAGTTTTGTACTATAAATGTCATTTGATTTTAAAGTATATTATGTCATGCTCAGTATATTGTATTTGAAAAATTAGGAATCTTAAAAAAACAGCAGTATCTTAGCCCAAGTGTAGGTGTCATCTTACTGCGACACATTACAATAATGGTTCCTGTTTAGGGATCTTCAAGTAAAATTGTAAGAACATTCAAAAACAAATTACAGCATAAAAAATTTTGTACTATATAGTACAGTGGAACCTTAGTTTTCGTGATTAATTCGTCCCAGAAAGACATGAAAACCGAATTGTATGAAAACTGAAGCACTGTTTCCCATAAGAAATAATGTAAATTCAATTAATCCGTTCCAGACATCGAAAAATATTAACAACAAATACATTTTATAGAGAATAACTATATTTTACATACAGAAAATGAGAAATAAATATAAATGGCTAATGAAATGGATAAATGAAGACTTGTTGGCATATGGAAGACGGCGAGGAGAGAGGGAGGAGGAGAGGTTGTTTGGAAGGGGAATCCCCCTCCATAAGGACTTCAGGTATCAAGGCCCTATCCGGGGTTACTTCCCTTCTTTGTCTTTTACTGGTACTAGGACCAGCTTGAGAGTCATTGTACCCCTGTTGCACAAAAATATGTCCAGGGAGGTCTGTGTCTGGAGTCTCTTTAAGATTTGCCTAAAATGGGACGAGGCATTGTCATTGAACATGTTGCAGACACAGCTTGCAACAGCTTTGTTAAGGTGATATTTCTCCACAAAACTTTGCAACTCATTCCACTTTGCACCCATGCTCTTAACCACTGAAGAAGGCACATTCTTCCCTCTCTCTTCCTCCTCCTCTGAAGCAATTTCCTCAGCTGCGGTCTGTTGCTGTTCCAGTTGAAGGTTTTCCACTCAATAAACAAGCACAGAAAACAGTGAATTATTACGAAATGTTTTCCGAATGCACAGGGTAATGTTCACTCAGTGAGAAACAACGCCAGACTGAGTCATAACGCGTGGGATGCTTTGTATGGGCACGAGCAGGTGGATGCGTTTGGTACAAACCATTGTCAACTCTACAAAAACCAAGCGGATGTACGAAAACGGACAAAATTTAGACGAAAAAAGGTGTCAAAAACCAGGGCATACGAAAACCGAGGTTCCATTGTATTAGAAAATTTATCCTGGAGTAAAATATATAACAAAGCGTATTAATAGTGTTAAATTATTTTACAGTGCATCCGAGTGTACTTAAATTATAAACTCACATTGAAAAACATTTATGGTGTTCCCATACAGTAATAAATATCTTGTTTATTACATGGAAGATGTATTCATTTTATTTCCAGCTTGGAACATTGTGTAATGAATTAAACCTGCCACTGCACATGGACGGGGCACGACTGATCAATGCATCTGTGGCTCTTGGCACAAGTCCGGCACGTCTTGTGCAGTGGTGTGATTCCGTCTCTCTCTGCCTAAATAAAGGTCTTGGGGCACCAATGGGCTCACTTGTAGTGGGTACTAAGGAATTTATTACTAGGTCTGCTTGCTGTTAAGTACAGTACTCTGTCTTGTTTGTTAATTTCTGCATAAATGTAATATAAAAGATACTGTTTTAATGTTTTGCATGTGGGTGCCTAACATAGCTATCTGGTTGTGTGGTTAACCTTCTCTCTACTTGCTTTAATAATTGCAAGATGATTGCACTGTATGACCCTTGTAGGTTTAGCACTTCATTTTGATTATAATAATTACAAGATAAAAGTAGGTAATTTCATGGAACCATCAATATTTTTTTTGCTTATAATTTTCTAAATTTCATTTCTGATTTTTAATTATTTTTTTTTACTTTAATTCCTACTGTGACCAATTTGTGCTTATATTCCTGTTTATTTTATTGTAAATAGTGCAAAAGTGAGATATTTTAATTAGTGACAGTAAAGGTATACAAGATGTATGATGAAGACGAGGGATGTTATTGTAAACTTAGTACTACTGTGACAATGCATTATAATGCTTGAACTTATACAGTAGATTGTACTAAATTATATATTGCTGTTTGAGGGGTATGCAGGCATTCGGCACACTCCCCTCAAACTAAAATTATTTTCTCATATCTTTTTGGTTTGTTGTAATGTTTGGTTTCTATATGATTTCATTTACCCTGGTCCTACTTTTTCCACCTTATTGATGGTCTCAAGTATCTTGTATTTTGTAATCATAACACTTTTAAATAGTTTTTTTTCCTCTACCATTATGAAGTTTGCTTTCTCGTGTTTTCTGTAAAGTTTCAAACATGCAGGTAGGCCCTGCTTTAAAGCGCTTTGCTTCATGGCATTTCGCTAATGCAACTGTTTTCATATATACCCATTCCTCACTCATCGAGACTTTCTACAGTAAATATATTCACCACACTATATTTTAACCCTTAAACTGTCCAAACGTAGATCTACATTTTTTCAACATTTGAAAGTAGTATGTAAAAAAACTTTGATCTACGTTTTTTTTTTTTTTGTTATATGTATTTGAAAATAGATCTACTTTTGGAGCACTACGCATGTGAACTTAGATCTATGTTTGGACAGTTTAAGGGTTAAGGTAAGTAATGTGTATACGGTATATGCATTTTTTAGGCCTAGCTCTGTTGCTCACTTAATATATGATAGTGTAAACATGTTATCAGGCTTTTATATACATTTGAAGGAGAAAAATACTGTTTCACTTTACAGTGATTTTTGCTTTACAGCAGTAGCCTGGAACCTTACCTGCAATATAAGCAGGGCCCTCCTGTAGCCAAATATACTTACCATAATGAACCTAAATTATTTTAAAAATCTGAGCCATATCATAGAATGCAAAATATGCTTGCTACAAATTTTACCTGTATAAAGACATTTGCTTCCCAAAGCAGTCAATACAGATAGAATAACAACATACCTTAACTAATGACTAATCACAAAGAAATGTCATGTAATAATACAGGACATCCAAGCATTCATTTTCCTTATATCCATCAATAATTATACTTCCACATGTAATGTATACGTTCACTAAAAAAGAAAGTTATTCTGTCTGCACCCCATACCCATCCTGTGAGTGGTAGTCAAAAATATTAGAGGTACATAATGGATGCAGGGACTGGGCCACAAAGTTTTGATAGCTGAACAAGTTACAAAAGTAATGAACCATTCACATGTCTACACCTGATCACCGAGTTATTAATACAAATACTACTAGCTTTATTAACAGATAAGAGATGGATCCAATTTCAACGATAGTTGAATTTCTAATCGGGTCCATCTTTTTGAAACACCCTGTAATATGCACCCAGAAGCACTAAACCCCTAGAGATCATAGTTCTGGGAATAGGAGACAGTCATGCTTGATCCAAGAAATTGGAGGATAGCTCTAATTCCTGGGATCAAAAGCCCTTTGCCAATATCAGGGCACAGAACTTATTGTAAAGTGTAAATTGGATATAAATGTTTCTAAATGTAAAAAAAAATTCTGAATAAAGAATTCTGATTTATTGTAACATAAGGAATTATGTTGTTGAAAATCTAACATAATATAATATTAAATTGTATTAATTAATTTTTTCAGGGCATTAAGAGTAAGAAAAGTTTTAGGTGGAGGGCTGCATCAAGCAGGGATGTTTGCTGCTGCTGGAATATATGCTCTTGACCACATTGCTCCAAGGCTTTCTCTAGACCACACCAATGCTCGTGCCATTGCTCAAAGTAAGGTATTTTTATCACTATGTACTGCACGTTCTCTTGTAAAGTACTTCCAAATAGATCATTAGTCAGCCATTGTATCTGTAAAGTTTTTACAGGTAAATTTTGACGAGATCCTCTGAGATTACTCAGTTGCAATTAACCCATTTTAAACTTTTGTAATCATGAAGTTTAATAAATTCTGGTAGCATTTTATACATATAATGTAGTTTTTTGTTTTTGCAATAAAAATAGTAACTTAGTCATGCACACAAATGCAAAATATACAGGTATTCCTTTTATACCAAACCCTCTAAATACACTATCTATAGGTGTGTCAGAAGTACATAGCAGTGCCATTACAGTTGATCTCAAGGGTGTCCAGACCAACGTTGTCTTGCTTCACTGTGATAACATTAGAGTTAATGCCAAGAAGCTGTGCCAAAGATTAGCATCAGTGAGTATAGATATATTTGTCCCTATACTAGTATGAAAGTAAGAATTACTAATGCAGAAGGTAATCCTAGAGTTTATGTTGGCCTCCCACCCATGGAATTTTTTAAATGATTTATATCATTACAGACTCTCTTCAAATATTTAAAAGTGCCTATATTTTTAAAGTTTTACACTTTAGCTTCTCAATCGTTCTTTATATTTTCTCCACATGCATGTTACTAGATGAGAATTGTTAGTTTACATACAGTAGAAGTCATAAAACTAACCCCCCCATAAAGCAGATGTTGGATATTATTATTATTATTATAATCAAAAAGAAGCGCTAAGCCACAAGGACTATACAGCGCTGCAGGGCAGGAAGGAAGCGAGGGCATCAGGTGGCAAAAGGGAGATGGATGAGTAATAGGTTACGGATAACAGCGGGGTAGGGGATGGTGAAAGGGTAAAGGGCAGCAAGAGACTGAACTAGAAAGGGCTGAGGGGAGTGCGAAAAGTATCATCAGAGTTTGTGGAATAAATCAGTCGTTGTCAAGAAGTCAATGAGAAAGTCAGGATTAAAGGAGGCCCCATCAGCAAAAAGGGGAAAGGTAAAGAGAAGAGTAGAACGAAGACGACATTGGGGGTAAATTCTGCGTGCTCGTTGGTAGAGAGGGCAGTCAAACAGAATGTGGCTAATCGATACAGGAACTTGACACTGCTCACAGAGAGAACAGGGTGCCTCTCCATGAGAAAACCCATGAGTAAAGCGAGTGTGGCCAATGCAAAGGCGGGAGAGAGTGGTCTCCCAACCTCGGCACTGATGACAAGAAGACGGCCAGTAACCTATGCTCGGTTTAATAGAATGAAGTTTGTTACCGAGCAGAGTTGACCAACGTTGTTGCCAACGGGTGCGAAGGTGGGTAGCTATTGCAGCAAAATAGTCCAGAAATGGAACACCTCGATAGGAAATCGGTAGGTCATGTACTCCCTGACTGCGCAGCAGTGCTGCCTGTTCATTGCCCTGAAACGTCGACATGACCAGGGACCCAACAAAAAAAAATATTTTTAAATGTTTGGTAGAGAAACGGCGTAGCCAAGTTGGATACGGAGAACTAGGGATGAGATGTATCAAATTTTCGTAGCCTGTAAGCACTAAGGGTCTGAGACTACTACAAATGATGACACAGGCATAGATGCGATACGAATAAGTGCTGCAAGAATGGCATACAGTTCAGCAGTAAAAATGCTAGCTGAAGATAGTAAATGCCCCGCACGACGCTGTCCGGAAACACTGCTGCGAATCCGACGCCGTCTGAAGACTTAGAGCCACCCTGTGTACACAGCGGTGGCATGAAATGGAGTGGAAGTGATCAAGAAAAAGAGAGGGGGAAGCCACCGTAGGCAGTTGAGCTTCGAGCAAGGGGAGTGAGAAAGAACAGACCCGAACAGCTGGAACTTCCCGGGGGGGTAGGGAAAAAGGGGAGATGCTACATGAACATATAAAGGTGGTAACTGAAGGGGAAGACAAGAGTGAATGTAGGCGAAGAGAAAAGGGACGGAGCAAAACCAGGGCTGCGAACGAATAAAAATGTCTACAATATCGGTGACCATTCTGTAAATGGAAGGGTTTGTGTAGATCGTGAGAGCGTACATAGTAGCGAAGGCAAGGGGCATCACGGCGATCAGACAAGGATGGAACATTTGCTTCTGTATGAGGCTCCAACAGGGGAAGAGCAAAAAGCCCCAAAGGGCACAAACTTTATCCTTGGTGATGGATAAGTTAAGGCTAGAGAGAGTACAGGAGGGGCCGCGGAATAAATCTGTCACCATAATCGAGTTTCGATAAAACGAGGGCTGAATGTAGGCGAAGCAGAGTTCAACGATCACTCCCCAGGAAAGATGAGCAAGGGTTTTAAGGTTTAGCCGGCTGGACAAGTTGCCTTCAGAGAGGTAATGTGAGGTTTCCAGGATAACCGACGGTCAAAGAGAAGGCCTAGAAACCTGACTGTATCACGTTCGGGGATACGGGAGCCATAGAGATACAAAGGATGATCAGAGATAACAGAGCGTCTAGTAAAAAGTAATTTGGTGATTTTTGGTACTTGAAAATTTAAACCCATGCGTGGTGGCCCAAGTGGAAACACGGCCGACCGCATGCTGGAGAGAAACTGCAATAAGGTGACAGTCAGTGCCTGCACTAGCAATAGCGAAGTCATCAACATAGAGTGATGACCAAATATTGGGTGGAAGAACAGAGGCCAAATCATTTATAGCAAGGAGAAAAAGTGTTGTGCTTAGAACACATCCCTGAGGGACACCTTCAGCTTGGACGAAGTCCGGGGAAAGAACATTATTGACTCGAACACGGAAATGTCTGTCAGTTAAAAAGTTCTTAAGGAAGGATGGTAGATTGCCTCGGAGGCCTAAGGAATGGGCGTGGGCCAAAATATTATACCTCCAAGTTGTGTCATATGCCTTCTCAAGGTCAAAAAATATGGCAATAACCGAGTGATTATTCGCAACATATGTATCCAAGCGTAGTAAGGGGTCTATGGTAGAACGACCCTTACGAAAGCCATATTGACTAGCGGAGAGACTGTTGTGTGTCTCAAAAATACCACATAAACGTCGTTTTACGAGACGTTCCATCACTTTGCAAACTGCACTAGTAAGAGCGATGGGGCGATAGTGGGAGGCATCATGTCCTGTAGTACCCGGTTTGCGGAAAGGGAGAACAATGGCAGATTTCCACAGCTGGGGAAGAACTCCTTGTGCCCAAATAAGATTGAAGAGGTGTAAGAGGACTACAAGGGCTGACCGATGTAAATGTTGTAACATACGAATATGAATGTCGTCAGGCCCAGCTGCCGATGATCGGCAAGCTGAGAGCGTTGCCTCCAGTTCTTGAAGTGAAAAAGGGCACATTATACTGTTCTTCTCTGAGAGAAGAAAAGTCCAAGGGTACTAACTCTCCTGGCAGATTTTGAGGAAAGAAAGGGGGGCATAGATGGAGCCCTCGGGAAATACGGCCCCAGATGTGTGCCAAGTTCAATGGCAAACGTCGAGAGGGTTTTGCTACATCAACACCAGCGACCCGTAGAACAGGAGCCAGGTCAGGAGAGTATTTACCACTCAATTTCCTCACTTTTTTCCAGACTGCACTCATAGAAGAAGCAGAGGTGATGGTGGAAACATAGTCTCGCCAACAAATGCGTTTAGCTTCACAGATGACACGGCGAGCGATCGCACGCTTCTGCTTAAAATCAAGAAGTCTCTCAGCGGTTCTATTGTACCGGTACCTGCCCCATGCAGCACGTTTCAAACGTACTGCACGAGCACAAGCAGGAGACCACCAAGGCATGCACTTCTGAGAATGCCTGCCTGAGGTTTGGGGTATAAACTGACGTCGAGAAGATGTGTAGGAGCTCATCAATGGAGGATGAAGAAGGAACCTCACTAAAAGCAGTGAGGTGAGTAAAGATCCCAATTTGCCCGATCAAATTGCCAGCGAGGGCTACGGAAAGGTGGTGAATAGGAAGGAGAAGTAAGAATGATCGGAAAATGATCGCTGTCATGTAAGTCGGTAAAACAGACCAGGTGAAGTCTAGTGCAGTGGAGGAAGAGCAGACTGATAGATTGATGCAAGAGAGAGTAGAGTTACGAGGATCAAAATGGGTGGGAGTACCCGTATTTAAAAACATGGGGGGGGTGAGAGCGAGAAAAGCCTCCAACTGGATGCCACGTGAGTCACAATGAGACCCCCCCCAGGGGAAAAATGGTGGCATTAAAATCACCAAGTTAACAGAAGTGGTGGCGGTAAGGATGAAACAAGAAAGGCAAAGTCTGGGATAGAAAATACCCGAGAAGGAGAGAGATATAAAAGAACATATTGTAAACCACTTATCAAGTGGATACGGGCTGCAGTGAAAATGCAGCGAGGTATGGACAAATAGTTGACACTACGGAATATCACTGCGTAGAAAAAGGGGCACTTTCATTAAAGGTCCCATCTGAGAAAGGATCCGAAAGAATACAATAAATTATAGCCCGAGATGGTTGGAAAACAGCCGAGTGTAATTGGTTCTTGTAAGCAAGCACCAACAGGGGAAAACCTGGAAAGCAACATCTGAAGCTCACCCGATTACCCCTTGAGGCCGCGGTTTATTCCACTGTAAATAGGCCATGATTGGCGATGAAGAAAATACCAGGAATCTGTAGGTAAAGGCACCTACGGACTAGAGGGGTTAGAAAAGTCAACGTGTGGTGGTATTGGAAGACGTTCAAGTAGCGAAGGAACGGAGCGTTGCGAAGAATGGGGTTGTTGAAGATGGAGGAAGGGAAAGAAGGAACAGGAAGTAATCAGTGTCCATTTAAGGTTTTTGTCTCTGCAATATATTCTGAAATGGCTTCAAGTGTTTCTGAATTCAAAGATGTATGGGAGACCATATTTGGGGATAGAAGAGGAGGGTGAGTAAAGATTGGGACAGTAATGGACTGTACCAAAGTAGAGGGGGAGGGAAGAGTGTAAGGGACTGGAGATAAGTGTGGGGGGGGGGGACAGAAGAGGCAAAACCTGGGAGGTGGCAGAAGAAGGGAGAAACTTGGAGGGGGCGGGGGTGGAAGGCATAGTATGAGGGGGAGGGTGAATCTCTACACTTGTAATAGAGCCAGAGAGAGGGGAAGAACTAGGGACAGAGACTGGAAAGGTAAAGTATGGAGGTGGAAGAAGGAAGGAAGGGGCAAAGAAGATTTGAGCAATGGGGGATTTTTGGACTTCTGAGTAGAAGGGGGGATTGGTAGTAGGTTGTCCCTACGAGGTCCCTTTTCGATACTGGGGCTTGTGAGGAAGGACGCGAAGACGTGGGGAACAGATGAGTTGTAGTCGGGACGTCAGAGCCAAGACAGCAAAAGGATTAGATGCCGTATGGCTATGGGAGGGGGAACAACAGAGGAGGCTGCAGAAGTTGGGACCCCAGAAGTGAGGGGATGTTTGGAAAAACGAGAATAAGAAAACACGGGGTAGTCTCCCTTGGGGGAGATGAGTAACTGCCTAGCATAAGGGAGACCTTTCTGCCTCTTTGAGGCAACGGATTTCACGTTCATTTTAAATAGACCTGGCAACGGCGGGATACGAAGGGTGAGCCCTTTATTACAAATTTAAAGGGAAGATGGAGGTTTGACTGCAAGATGTATTAGAATGGTCGTCGGCACCACAGACTGGGCATTCGGGCCCTAGATCTGCAATATTTCGCTGGGTGACCAAAACCCAGCAATTTCCTACGTTGTTGCGGTGTAGGTATCACCTTTCGAACTTGTAACCGATGTCCCCGCGACATATACAGAGGACGGGAGTTCTCGGCTGTCAAAAGTTAAACGAGCCACATTGCAAGGGTAAAGTCTCCGCCCCCGGGCAGGAAGGACATAAGTGTCTACTTGAGGATTGGGAGATCCTGGAGTTCCAGCTGTTCAAAAATGTCATTGCCACCTGACTGGAAATTCTGTTGGACTATGGTATGGGGGAGAATGACAGTACCACTACAAGAATTGAGAGAAAAAAGTTTTTCAAAAGTGATAGGAGTATTACGATATTCGAAAGGAGAGAAGAAACATGAGCTTGGGTAGCATTCTGGACAGTGACGATGCGCAACCGCTCTTGAGAGCATGAAATGAAATATCCCCTACCAACATGACGCAGGAGCGCTTTGCCAATACTATGGTCAGAAAGGTAAAGGGATAAGAAGAAGTTCGGTCTTAAAGTAAAGAATTTAGTCCATTGTGTGGTCCGAAACTGAGCGGGAGAGGGAGTGCTTGACGTGTCGGTCTTTTCCCCAGTAGAATGGGAAGGTAACGAAGGAGCATCATCAGGGAAATTTACGTTGGCGTTTGGAGTAGGACCGGAGTTGGTCCGGCGTGAAATGGGCGGGCGATTCGAAAATTGCCGTACCGTAAGGGAGAAGCCGGAAGCATAGTCAAAGGAGAGCGGAGTTCAGACAAATCGAAGGAGTCAGTCGAAGCCCCGGTACCTGAAGCGGGTGAGGAAACAGCACCAGCAAGAGTACAGGGGCATCAGGAGTGTCCGAAGAGTGGTCTAAACACAAGGCAGGGTCAGAAAGGGGGGGCGTAACAAGAAGGGGCCCGGGGTAGTGGGTTCATGGACTAGGGCTGCATGGTTAGGTTACTCCTTTGCTTTTTTTTTTTAAGAAAAAAAAAAGAAAGAAGAAAAATAAAATAAAAATAAAAAAAAGAATAAAAAAGGGGGAGCGGGGAGGAATAGTTCCCAGGAGGAATGAAAGGGCCCCCGGAAATCTCCCTCCGCACCCCAAAAGGACCTCAGCACCGCTAGTAGCGCAGATGCAGCATGGAACCCGTGCCCTACCCTACCCTTCATGCCCTAAACCAGCAATCCGGGATAGCAACCTCACATCTGCCGAGCTACCTCGGTGGGCAAAAGAGAGGGCGGCCGGATATCCGCCACAAAGCATACCTCCTTCGGCCACCACCCCCGGGAAACCGAAAGGTGGCTTCCAGAGATACACCCGTCCCCCCCGAAAGACAACCCAAAGCTACTCCGGGATACCGGGGAGGGATCGAGACATCCCCAGGCAATCCAGATTCCACGACAAACTACGCCACCGCCAAGAACCTCAACGGAATGGGATGGACCCCGGTGTCCTTTCCCCTACCTAGGAACTAGCGTGCCTGTGGGAGAAATCCTAAAGGCCAAAAAGAGGAAGGGCAAAAGGGAGGGGTTTAGGAGGAGAGGAGGGGGAATGAAAAAGGGAGAATGGGATAGGGGAGGGGAGAATGGGGGGTAATTAGGTTCGGTCTGAGGAAGAAGACCGATAGGGCTAATTCCTCAGACCAAGAGCCTCTTCACCACGCCAAGGAGCCCCCCTTGAAGAGGAGATGTTGGATAAAAAAAAAAAAAAAAAAAAAATGAGTCCAGACAAAGGCTTAACATATACATTTAATGGAATGCTCGATTAAAATAGACAAGAAGCAGACAAATGGCTGTTCAGTTCAGTCATATACTCAATAAAATGTACCAGCTCTGCTTAATTGCAAGTTTGTATAGTCCATATTTTATCCAGGTGGCAAAGACATGACACACTTGTCCATCTGGAACAAAATAGTTATTAACAAGTGTAGATAAACCAAGACAGGGCAGGTAGAGCAAGCAAGCAGGCAGCTGGCCAGTTTGTCAGGTAGCCAACCAGCCTATTAAAGAATTGTAGACTTAACCATTTACATTCTTGGCACAAGTCTCCACATTTGGTACACACAGACTATCTCTCTCTGTTACCCATGTCTGGTACACAAACAGTATGTCTGCTTGCCTTCCATTAGTTATTTCTTTGCATGTCCAATCATGTCATCAATAAAGCAAGCTAAGTCTGTTTTATTGGAAGTTTACCCATGTCCAATAGTCAGTTAAGTAGACTATGTCCGCTTAATTGAAACATTAAGTATAAAGTTATTTTAGGTAAATCAGATGGTTTGTTTTATTGAACTTTACTGCATTTCAGAAATGTTTAACTTTATATCAATAACTTAAAACTCTGAGTATCTGTTATTGTCAGTCTATAGTCTTCATACTTTCTCTTTTTTTTTTTCTGATACTTTATCAACTAGAATGAAATAACCATATTATTAAACTCTCACCAACAGTTTGCATATGATGGATGTGTAATACCTGCACAGTATTTTTATATTACTGTATGCTTGACAAAATCAGATAGCTGTTTAACCTAATTTTCTCTGAAATTAACTTCATTTTAATAAAGAAACTTGCAATGAATCATTATTTTTCTTTAACAAAGTTTTGAGACACTTTGTTTTGTCTTCCAGGTGACAGATGCAGAATCTGAAGAGATGGGCGAGCAGATTGTTGTAATGATGTTGCCAATCACAGAAACAACTGTCCGCTTAATGATGCATTGTGATGTTAAAAAAGATGATATCAAAGCTGTGATAAAGAAACTTAAATACATTATTCAAGAATATGATAACATGATGTACCTAGAATACAAGATTAGCGTTTAACATAAATATTATATTTACAATAATGATTTTCTTTTTCCTACAAGAACAGGTTTTTATATTGTAACAACTTCAGCCAACTTAATAGGGTTTATTACAGAAAAAATTTGATTTTTTACCTTGTACAGTAGTCTCTATTGTATACATAATCTGTCATTTTTATATAAAATAATGATATAAAATTATGATAACTTAATAGCATTAATGCAAGTTTTTTTTTAACACGTTGGCCATTTCCCACCAAGGCAGGGTGACCCAACAAAGAAAAACCCAAAAAGAAAGAAAAAACTTTGATAATATAATGAATCAACACTTTCACCATCACTCGTGCATAATTACTTTCTTTGCAGAAGCTCCCAGATACGGCAGTTTAGATAGTCACTCCAAACTGCCAATATCCCAAACCCCTCCTTTAAAGTGCAGGCATTGTACTTCCCATTTCCAGGATTCAAGTCCAGCTATATAAAAATAATCAGTTTCCCTGAATCCCTTCACAAAATATTACCCTGCTCACACTCCAACAGCTCGTCAGGTCCCAAAAATCATTTGTGTAGGTATAAATCTCATGGCATGAGCAAGTGTTAATTTTTTGTAATTTAAGAATCAGCTTCATGCCTTCAGAATTGTTGCAAAGAATCAGAATAGTTAAGAATAAGTGCTGGATGGAACGAAAGCTTTCCCAAAAGCTTCTGTGCTTTCACATTATTAATAATGTGGTTCAAATGGTGGATAGATAAAGGCTTTAAATCCATTTGGCACAGCCAGATTGGTACAAGTCTTAATCTCCATGGTTTAGCCTAAAGTGACCCAGTCTGGAGAAAAACTATCAGGCAAGAGTTTACCTACTGTGGTCTTCATGTAGCTTTTGTTTGGCATGGCCAGGTATACTTCCCAGTCCAGGCCAAATTCAGCCATCACTTGTCTACATGCACCACAAGGACCCACAAACTTATTCCCCATCTCAGCAGTGATAGCTATGGCTTTAAATTTTCTGTAGCCCTGCACTACTGCTCTGAATACAGCTGTTCTTTCAGCACAGTTGCTGAGACCATAAGAGATGTTCTCCACATTGCAGCCTGTGATGACAGTGTCGTCGTGTGTGAGGAGGGCAGCACCCACTTTAAACTTGCTGTAGGGGCTGTAGGAGTTCTCTCGACTCTCCAGACTAGCCTCTATTAAGTCCCCCAACTGCTCATCTGCAATAGAGGTTATTATTTTATGTTAAATACATATACAGTGGGGTGTATGACTTGTCTACTGACCAATGTGCCTCTCAGTGTTCTTCCATGTTTATATGTCTCTCTCTGTAATCACAGATTTTCCCCTGACAGTAGCTACAGTTTGCTATATGTGTACCATTATGATTTCACACACAAAATTAACATCTAAAATGTTGATGGAAGGAGTAAGAAAGAGAGAGAGACAGGTTTAATATTAAATATAATAATAATACTGTGGAACTCCAGATTTCATACTTAATCCGTTCTAGGTCAGTCTAAATCCGAAACGTATGAAAACCAAAGTAATATTTCCCATAAGAAATAATGTTAACCTGGAGTTTACCTGGAGAGGGTTTCGAGGGTCAACGTCCCCGCAGCCAGGTCTGAGACCAGGCCTCATGGTGGATCAGGGTCTGATCAACCAGGCTGTTACTGCTGGCCGCACGCAAGCTGATGCACAAACCACAGCCCGATTGGTCAGGTACTGACTTTAGGTGCTTGTCCAGTGCCTTCTTGAAGACACCCAGGGGTCTATTGGTAACCCCCCTTGTGTATGCTGGGAGGCAATTGAACAGTCTTGGGCCCTGGACACTGTGCGTTATCTCTAAGTGTACTCGTGGTACCCCTGCGTTTCATAGAGGGAATGTTGCATCTCCTGCCGAGTCTTTTGCTATTCATAGGGAGTGATTTTCATGTGCAGGTTTGGTACCAATCCCTCCAGGACCTTCCAAGTGTATATTATCACGTACCTCTCTTGCCTGCGTTCAAGGGAATACAGATTGAGGACCTTCAACCGTTCCCAGTAGTTTAGGTGCCTTATCGTACTTGTGTGGCGTGAAAGTTCCTTGTACACTCTCCAGGTCTGCAATGTCACCAGCCTTGAAGGGGGCAGTTAGTGTACAGCAGTATTCCAGCCTAGAGAGCACAAGCAATTTGAAGAGAATCATCATGTGCTTGGCATCCCTAGTTTTGAAGGTTCTCATTATCCATCCTATCATTTTCCTAGCGGATGAGGTAGATATATTGTTGTGGTCTTTGAAAGCGAGATCCTCTGACATTATTACTCTCAGGTCCTTCACATTAATTTTCCGCTCTATTGTAGGGTTAGAATTTGCAGTATACCCTGACACATTTTGAATTTCTTCAAGTTTCCCATATCTGAGTAGTCGAAATTTCTCCTCGTTTAACTTCATATTGTTTTGAGTGGCCCATTTGAAGATTTGGTTGATGTCCGCTTGGAGTCTCACGATGTCTTCAATGGAGGTCACTGCCATGGTATTCCGGGTGTCATCCGCAAAGGAAGACAAGGAGATGTGGCTTGCATCTCTGTCTATATCAGAAATGAGGATGAGGAATAGAATGGGAGCAAGTACTGTGCCTTGAGGAACAGAGCTTTTTACAATTAATCCGTTCCAGACACCCAAAAACATTAACAAGAAATACATTTTTTAAAGAATAACTAGTTTTACATACAGAAAACAATCAGAAATAAATATAAAGCACTAATAAAATGGATAAATGAACATTTAAATTGCTATTACATACCTTTACTAAAGACTCATGTTGGCCTCACCATGCCACTACACTTCTTGACTCTGTTGAACCAGCCTCTGCTGGCCTTAAATTTACTAACAGCAGCACTCATTCCAGGCATTTTCTTTATGTGGTCCACATGCAACTGCCTTGCCTTTTCACAAATGATCGCCTCCACAACACTATCTCCCGCTAACTGCTTTTCGTTGATCCACACCAACAACAACAACTCCACATCTTCGATTGTTTGTAATCTCTGTTTCGTTAGTATATTTACCTATTTTGCAACTTTAGCTTCCTTGACTTCTACCTTCTTTGCCAGGATGGAACAAAGTGATGATTTCGACTTCCCATACATCCTGGCAAGTTTGGCTAAACGTACACCACTTTCGTATTTTTCTATAATCTCTTTCTTGAATTCTATCATGTTTCTTACTTTCTTTACCAAAGGAACTTTCTTTGGGCCCAGGTTGGCTTATTTCTCAGTCGCACTCAGTAGTTAAGCACAAAAAAACAATGGATTATTACGAAATGTTTTGGATAAGAGCGCAAAGTAATGCTCACTCAACCAGTGACAGAGCCAGACTAAGACATGTGCATGAGTGGCGGCTTCCCGGGCAGGTGGACACGTCTGATACGTACTATTTCCAGGTGGAGGTACGAAATCTGGATCAAAATTTTGCCCAAAAAAGTGGTCTAAATCCAAAATGTATGATATTTGGTGTGTACGAAATCCTGAGTTCCACTGTATAATATAATAATGTATCATCTTTATTTCTACAAGTACATGCACAAGGTATACAGGCCTAGCTGACATCAATGACATACTACTACATAGAAAGCCACTTTGTTATATCTGGAGTTTACCTGGAGAGAGTTCCGGGGTTCAACACCCCCACGGCCCGGTCTGTGACCTGGCCTCCTGGTGGATCAGAGCCTGATCAACCCAGCTGTTACTGCTGGCTGCACGTAATCCAACGTACGAGCCACAGCCTGGCTGGTCAGGTACCGACTTTAGGTGCTTGTCCAGTGCCTACTTGAAGACAGCCAGGGGTCTATTGGTAATCCCCCTTATGCAGAGCATTTCGGGCTAATTAGGTCAGTTTTGTCCCAGGATGTGACCCTCACCCTACACCCACCACCCACATACTGCAAGCTAGGTTTGTATAAATACATCTTGCATATTACTGGCACCAGCAAGAGAAAGGTAAAGTGGAAATCAGTTTTCTTCCGTGGCATACAGAGTGTAGTAGGATACAGACAGGATGTCAGCACAGCATATCTGTGGGACATGTAAAAAAATCCTTGGAAGGAAATCTAGAATTACATGCAATCTATGCTTTTCCAAACACCATATCTCTTGTACTAGACTAAATACAGCCTCAAAAAATAACTACGAACTAACAAGGTGTTTCTGGTCGTGCAATACAGATGTAGAACTTTGGGCAGGTATCAGAAAGGTACTAAGGAGAGTAATAAATGATAAAAATAATCAAGAAAACAAAGATGACCTCTTGGATAGTCTACCAAAAATATATAAAACATGGGAGCAAGAGATAGTGTATCAAAAAATACAGAATGCCCATACCACAACAGGTGACTCGAAACTATCTAGTCACCCACAGAGTGCTAAACCAGACCCATCCCCCAGTCATAGCACTAATACCCACAGTGCTAGTGCTGGCCCAGGCTCAGCCCCCAGCCCTAGTGCTGACTCAGACCCAGCCCCCAGCCTTACTGCCAGCCCAGACTCTACTAGGGACCCTACCACCACTAAAACCGTAAATATACAACCATCATTGTACAAGACCGTGGCCCACAGTACAGATGTTGGAGAGGAGTCTCCTCCTTCTTCCTCTACTGAGGAAAGTAGATGGAATCCAGGGCGGGTTGGCCCTGGCTTGGATACTGAGGATTATAGTGCAGTCCCAGAACCTGCAGAAATTGACAACACACCTCCCAACAATTCTCAGCCAAAGGTGAATTTGTGCAAATATTATGCTTGGGGCATCTGTAAGCATGGAATATCAGGACAAAAAAATGGGACATGCAACTTTGAGCATCCCAAAAAATGTAGCGACCTCCTGTTAAAGGAAATGTGTCTTCTTCTTCCTGTACTTTTTCACCCAAAAATGTGTCACTCCTCGGTCCTCCAGAAGCAGTGTTACAACATCGACTGCCCTGCATTTTCCATCTAAAAGGACCAGGAGGCACAGACCCCCAAGACAAACAATAGCAGCTATGACAACCCAAACTCCAGGTGATTTTTTAGTAGCAGGAAACGGAAAAAGAAAATGGAAGGAAATAAAAATAGTCCACCACCTTGGAGCCTTGTTGGACTGGAGACGCAGCCAGTTGCCACCCATGGCCCTCCAGAATTACAACTACCGATGCCAATAACAAAATCCCCCCAACAAACTCAGAATACAAAACCCCGTTTATATTTGCTAATATACAGGCCTTAAGCCATCCACCAACAACAAAATACCTTTAATCAGTGGACTTCTAGAGGAGTCTAATGCAATGTTTGCAGCCTTCACAGAGACTCACACAAAAGATCACTTTGACAGTGAAATATGGGTAAGTGGTTACAACCTTTTTAAATGCGACAGAATGAACAGGCAACAAGGGGGGGTTGGCCTGTATGTCAAAGAGTCCCTCATCTGCACGGAGCTGCTGAACACCACAAATGAGGTAGTCGAAGTTCTATCAATAAAGATCAAGAACCAAAACCTAGTCATTGTGGTTGTATATAAGCCAACCCCGATGCAACCTCAAAAACAGTTCAAAGGGAAAAGCTACTGAAAATTGATTACTGTTGGAAAACCTTCCAGCTCCATCCCAAACATCTTACTGCTTGGTGATTTCAAAACCCAAGGCATACAAATGGAAGAATGTAGCAAATAATGTTATAGCTGATACAATCTCCGGAGGTAGCGCAGATGAAAATTCACACACACGAGCTACTAAGTCTCTGCGAAAAACACACCTTAAGCCAGCAGATAGTGGAGCCAACAAGACTAGAAAACACACTTGACCTTATCTTCACAAATAATGAGGACCTGATAAGAGACATAAGAATATCAAAAACAACTAATTCCGATCACAACCTAATCGAAGTCCAGACGTACATGCATAGGGGTCCTGATAAGCAGAATGCATGTACCTGTGAAGGTGTCTTCACAAAATACAACTTCAACAACAAGAACATCAACTGGGACCAGGTAAATCACGTCCTAAACGAAACATGTTGGGAAGATATCTTAAATGACATGGATCCAAACCAGTGCCTTGAAAGGATCAACTTCCTGGCAGCTGAAGCATGTTCTAGGCATATTCCCCTAAGAAAGAAGAAGAGCAGGAGTAAACTGGAGAGAGAAAGACGCTCCCTCTACAGAAGACGACGAAGGGTCACTGAGCTCCTCAGGAGTGCTAGAATATCTGATACACGAAGGGAGGCACTGACCAGGGAAGTGGGAACTATCGAACATAAGTTAAATGACTTACAGGAACCAGGAGAGACAGGAGGAGCTTAAAACTATTAGTGAAATTGAAAGAAATTCAAAATATTTCTTTTCATATGCCAAAAACAAGGCAAATACCACATCTAGTATCGGGCCCTTACTCAGACAGGATGGGACTTACACAGATGACAACAAGGAAATAAGTGAAATACTGAAATCCCAGTACAACTCTGTGTTTAGTGAACCACTAATCAGTCTGAGGATTGACGACCCAAATAATTTCTTCATGAATGAGCCTCAAAACTCCAAAAATGTATGCCAGATTTCCGACATTACCCTAACTCCGATAGATTTCGAAAAAGCCATTGACAACATGCCCATGCACTCAGCCCCGGGCCCAGACTCGTGGAACTCTGTTTTCATTAAGAACTGCAAGAAACCCCTCTCGTGTGCCCTAAGTACACTATGGAGGAGCTTGGACATGGGTGAAATTCCAGTCACTTAAAACGACGGATATAGCCCCACTCCATAAAGGTGGCAGCAAAGCATTAGCTAAGAACTATAGACCAACAGCTCTGACGTCCATCATAAAAATCCTTGAAAGAGTGCTAAGAAGCAGGATTGCAAATCACCTGGATTCCCAAAATCTGCACAATCCAGGGCAACATGGGTTCAGGGCAGGTCGCTCCTGCCTCTCACAACTACTGGATCACTATGATACGGCTTTGGATGCTAACAATCTAGTGTTTGCCTACATTCGGCCTATTACTACCTATGTTAAGGTCTTAGGTCTACATTATTATTATCTACAGTTGTCTCAATAATCCTAATATTAGTGTACTAACAGTATAAACTACCTACTTCTTCCCTGAAGGGTCCCCTCAAGGAAGGTTCCTTGATGTTGGTGAGGGGCTCTTGATTTAGGGAATTAGATCTGTGCTCCAGTTCCCCGAATTAAGCCTGAATGCCTTCCACATCCCCCCCCCAGGCGCTGTATAATCCTCCGGGTTTAGCGCTTCCCCCTTGATTATAATAATAATAATAATTCCCTGAAGGGTAAATCTATCAATTAAGAAGTACCTTCCAACCACCTTCGCCAACCCGGGTAAGTGTGTTTGTGTTTTGGGTGGGTGTAAGGGCCCTCGAACGGTGTGTTTTTCCCCGTTGGGACTTCTCGGACCGAATAAGTTCCAACAATCACAACAGTGCCACGATCGCACGTGCAAAGAAAATGATAGGATGGATAATGAGAACATTAAAAACAAGAGATGCCAAGCCAGTGATGATCCTTTTCAAACCACTTTTTCTCTCTAGGCTGGAATACTGCTGTACATTAACATCTCCATTCAAAGCAGGTGAAATCGCAGATCTAGAGAGTGTACAGAGATCCTTTACTGCACGTATAAGTTCTGTCAAGCACCTTAAGTACTGGGAACGCTTGGAAGCACTTGACTTGTACTCGTTGGAACGCAGGAGGGAGATATATATCATAATCTACACTTGGAAAATCCTGGAAGGAATGGTCCCAAATCTGCACACAGAAATCACTCCCTACGAAAGTAAAAGACTGGGCAGGCGATGCAAAATGCCCCCAATAAAAAGTAGGGGCGCCATTGGTACACTAAGGGAAAACACCATAAGTGTCCGGGGCCCAAAACTGTTCAACAGCCTCCCATCAAGCATTAGGGGAATTGCCAATAAACCCCTGGCTGCCTTCAAGAGAGAGCTGGACAGATACCTAAAGTCAGTGCCGGATCAGCCGGGCTGTGGCTCGTACGTTGGACAGCAGTAACAGCCTAGTTGATCAGGCCCTGATCCATTGGGAGGCCTGGTCATGGACTGGGCCGCGGGGGCGTTGATCCCCGGAATAGCCTCCAGGTAACCTCCAGGTACCCATTATTACTGATGGGTGAACATGGACAACTGGTGTAAGGAAACACACCCAATGTTTCCACCCCTTTGCCAGGAACCAAACCCGGACACTCACCATGTGAAGCGAGAGCTTTTGCCCGAGGCCACGGCACCATGGGGGGGACAAGTTACGTTTATTTCTTTATGGTGTACAAATAATGTAGTTTAAATGAATTAATACAATGGTAGGCACAAAAGAGTGCCACTAATTATACAGTGTATTTCAGGCAACTAATCTTAGGCATACTTACATGTTAAGTAGGAACTAGACAGACTTAGAAGTATGAATTCTTATGCAGTTAACTACAAAAGAACAATAAGCAAGGTAGTTAATGACAAAAGGACAATCACAGAATTATATTAAACTGATTCAATGATTTGTTTTGTCGAGTGACTGAATAGAGATGAAGATATAGCAAGTTACTTACATTATAGCAGTACATGTACTAGTAAAATGGGATGCATTACCAATTATGCATGGGAGATGAAGGCAGACTGGAAGAACCGGGACAGAACTGAATGAAAACTTTTTAAACAGCATATTGTTGTCTATATTACATTAAGATGAGACCTTCTTTTTTAACAGGAAAACAGTCCCCGATGACACACTTTCTTATCATGGGTGGCTAACCCACCGTGTTAAAAACCCAAACAAAATCCTAACTTACCTTATCTAACTAAATGCATTTCAGTCACCATACATCGAGAAAGGTATCCATATTTCCCACAAGCTCAGCCCCATGTACCTCAATCCAAAAAAAAAAAAAAAAAAGGATAAGACAGTGCAGCATAATATTCTAGAGTAGTTATATATCAGCACTAAAGATCTGAAGCCAATTAGTATATTCTTTAACAAGTTAAACTATGGAAACTAATACTATATTATATCCTAATTTCTTCAATACCTGTATTCCCTGGAACGCAGGAGGGAGAGATACATGATTATATACACCTGGAAAATCCTAGAGGTACTAGTACCGAACTTGCACACGAAAATCACTCACTACGAAAGCAAAAGACTTGGCAGACGATGCACCATCCCCCCAATGAAAAGCAGGGGTGTCACTAGCACGTTAAGAGACCATACAATAAGTGTCAGGGGCCCGAGACTGTTCAACTGCCTCCCAGCATACATAAGGGGGATTACCAACAGACCCCTGGCAGTCTTCAAGCTGGCACTGGACAAGCACCTAAAGTCGGTTCCTGACCAGCCGGGCTGTGGCTCGTACGTTGGATTGCGTGCAGCTGGTAGTAACAGCCTGGTTTATCAGGCCCTGTTCCACCACGAGGCCTGGTCACAGACCGGGCCGCGGGGGCGTTGACCCCCGGAACTCTCTCCAGGGGAACTCCAGGTACAAATGGCAACCTGACACCTACACAATTAAATAACAATAACATTCACTAATATACACCAATTTTAAAGTTTAAAGCTAGAGACCAATATCCCAAAAGACATTATCACAGAGCCAGACCAGGACTCCTGCTGGCTCTCCTGATCCATGGCTGAACAACTCTTGACCCGAAGTATTGCTGCTTCAACCCCCAGGCGTTGTGTGACCCCCCATATGGGTTTAACGCTTCTCCATGAATGTAATACCTAGGAGTTTCGGGGGTCGACGCCCCCATGGTTAGGTCCACGACCAGGCCTCGTGGTGGATCAGGACCTGATCAACCAGGCTGTTACTGCTGGAGCTGTATAGCCCTTGTGGCTTAGCGCTCTTTTTTTATAATAATAATAATAATGTTGCTGCTGGCCACACGTAAACCGAGATACAAACCACAGCCCAACTGGTTAGGTACTGACTTGGGTGCCTGTCCAGTAATACTCAAACCTTGAATTTTAACTCGCCTGATAATTGTTTGTGCATCTCTGCTGTGGTTGCATCATGAGCACCTGCTGCCACTTGTTGAAGTTTACTGCTGGCCATACTGCTGTGTTAGCAACTCTTCTAAAAATGGTCAGAGGCAGCCGCTGAGTAACCTCTCACCACTGTAGCTCACACCACACTGACACTCTTCAGGTTCACCTCTTCCCAAAATATATATAGGTACGTACGCGCGCGCACGCGCGCGCACACACACGCACACACACACACACACACACACACACACACACACACACACACACACACACACACACACACACACACAATGTAGTGGAGGCAGGATCCATACATAGCTTTAAGCAGAGGTATGATAAAGCTCACGGCTCAGGGAGAGTGACCTAGTAGCGATCAGTGAAGAGGCGGGGCCAGGAGCTCGGACTCGACCCCCGCAACCTCAACTAGGTGAGTACAACTAGGTGAGTACACACACACACACACACATGGTACGTGAAGAGGTATCACAGTGGGCGCCTGTTACGAGCGGGGTCCCACAGGGGTCAGTTCTAGGACCAGTGCTATTTTTGATATATGTGAACGACATGATGGAAGGAATAGACTCTGAAGTGTCCCTGTTCGCAGATGACGTGAAGTTAATGAGAAGAATTAAAACGGACGATGATGAGGCAGGACTGCAAAGAGACCTGGACAGGCTGGACATGTGGTCCAGTAACTGGCTTCTCGAGTTCAATCCAGCCAAATGCAAAGTCATGAAGATTGGGGAGGGGCAAAGAAGACCGCAGACAGAGTATAGGCTAGGTGGACAAAGACTACAGACCTCACTCAGGGAGAAAGACCTTGGGGTGACCATAACACCGAGCACATCACCGGAGGCACACATCAACCAAATAACTGCTGCAGCATACGGGCGCCTGGCAAACCTGAGAATAGCGTTCCGATACCTTAATAAGGAATCGTTCAAGACACTGTACACTGTGTATGTTAGGCCCATACTGGAGTATGCAGCACCAGTCTGGAACCCACACCTGGGCAAGCACGTCAAGAAGTTAGAGAAAGTAAAAGATTTGCAACAAGGCTAGTCCCAGAGCTCAAGGGAATGTCGTACGAGGAAAGGTTAAGGGAAATCGGACTGACGACACTGGAGGACAGAAGGGTCAGGGGAGACATGATAACGACATACAAGATACTGCGGGGAATAGACAAGGTGGACAGAGATAGGATGTTCCAGAGAGGGGACACAGGGACAAGGGGTCACAACTGGAAGCTGAAGACTCAGACGAGTCACAGGGACGTTAGGAAGTATTTCTTCAGTCATAGAGTCGTCAGCAAGTGGAATAGCCTAGCAAGTGAAGTAGTGGAGGCAGGAACCATACATAGTTTTAAGAAGAGGTATGACAAAGCTCAGGAAGCAGAGAGAGGATCCAGTAGCGATCAGTGAAGAGGCGGGGCCAGGAGCTGAGTCTCGACCCCTGCAACCACAATTAGGTGAGTACAATTAGGTGAGTACACACACACACACACACACACACACACACACACACACACACACACACACACACACACACACACACACACACACACACACACACAGTAAGGATTCGTTCAAGACTCTGTATACCATTTACGTCAGGCCCATACTGGAGTATGCAGCACCAGTTTGGAATCCACACCTAGTCAAGCACGTCAAGAAATTAGAGAAAGTGCAAAGGTTTGCAACAAGACTAGTCCCAGAGCTACGGGGATTGTCCTTCGAAGAAAGGTTGAGGGAAATCGGCCTGACGACACTGGAGGCCAGGAGGGTCAGGGGAGACATGATAACGACATATAAAATACTGCGCGGAATAGACGAGGTGGACAAAGACGGGATGTTCCAGAGATGGGACACAGACACAAGAGGTCACAATTGGAAGTTGAAGACTCAGATGAATCAAAGGGATGTTAGGAAGTATTTCTTCAGTCACAGAGTAGTCAGGCCGTGGAATAGCCTAGAAAGTGACGTAGTGGAGGCGGGAACCATACATAGTTTTAAGGCGAGGTATGATAGAGCTCATGGAGCAGGGAGAGAGAGGACCTAGTAGCAATCAGTGAAGAGGCGGGGCCAGGAGCTATGAATCGACCCCTGCAACCACAAATAGGTGAGTACAAATAGGTGAGTACACACACACACACACGCACACGCACTCTTATACAACAGGCCTAGTGTCGAATCGACATGTGCCTTGGACAAAACGGTAACTAACACACACACACACACACAGCTGTGACTTGACCCCTTCAACCACAAATAGGTGAGTACACACACACACACACACACACGGGGCCAGGAGCTATGACTTGACCCCTACAACCACATATAGGCCAGTAATATATAAACATATTATGGCAAATTAGGCTCACTTCAGATATCCACAATCAGTACACACTGAGTAGAAGTATTTTAGCCCTAAAAAAAATATATGGAATTAATGTGACGCTGGTTGTTAAGTCTGGTTGACTTTCCTTCACTGTGAAGTATATGTTGAATGAAATATTATAAATCAGGAATGTGAATATATTATTTTTTTGGCAACAGTATTTTTTTTAATTACCAGGCTAAGAATTTTTCGGTCAGGGGTCAAAACAAAAATTGAAATTTATGAAGATAATGTTTGGCCATGAAGATATATATCTTGTAAGTAAATGTTGCATTATTAAATTTATTGTGACTCAGATACAGTGTATTTACATAAAATTAAATAACAGGAAATCCCTTCGCTCTACCAAGAGAAAAATAAGTGAAAAACATGCAATGTTTATGTTTTTCGTGTACAGATGTTTATCATGAAATGTATTATTAAGTAATCAATCAGAACAACATTAAATATACACAGGAGTGGATCTATTATGAAACTAAAGAAGGTTCAGGGACCCTCCCGGAGGGCCAACAGCAGCGACTTTACTCCACAATGGTTAAATTTTTGGGGTCTACTTTATAAGAGGGTTTTCGAAGGGCCCCCCATAACAGTTCAAGTTTCAGGACCTCCAAAAATGTAAGTCCCCCACTGCATATACATGTACCAGCTAACACAACCTGGTAAACCAGTTTCTCTCTTTTTGAAATCACAGCAAAACGCTAATCCCCCTGACAACATGAAAATATAACGAATTATCATATCACCTGTCAAAGCCTATCAACAGTGTCGTGTACTATATAGCTTGATATTAGCAGTGTGGTGTTTATCTGCCTTTCAGAAAATATTCAGATAACTTTATCTGAAGTGTAACATGTAAAATCACTTTAAAGTCTGACTCGTTACATTCATAATTTATTATTTTATATATGATACATGACAAGGTTATTATTATAATCAAAAGCAAGCGCTAAACCTACAAGGGTTATATAGTAATACATGAAGAGAATAGAGTTCATTGTATTTATTACAATTGAACTTACCTAGCTATATAGCAAAATTCAATATACAATGTACTAAAACTTCCATATATATATATATATATATATATATATATATATATATATATATATATATATATATATATATATATATAATATATATATATAAATTATATATATATATATATATATATAATATATATATATATATATATATATATACACACATACAAGGAATTCGCAATAGCAGGAGACTCGAACCTACGAACCTTGGAACAAGGTACGCAGTGCATTACCATTCTCACCACACTGGACCAATACCTTGGAGTCCAGCTTGCGCTAGACGTTTTGATTCAAGGCAGCCAGTTTTCAGGGAGAAGGCTTACAGCTTTTCATCTCATCCCCTGCATGCATCAGCCTTATTAGAGATTTTAACAATGCAAGGAATTCGTAAGAGCAGGCGAAATATACACAAACACTGATATAATAATATATATATATATATATATATATATATATATATATATATATATATATATATATATATATATATATATATATATATATATATATATGATACATGATTATATACACCTGGAAAATCCTAGAGGGACCGAACTTGCACACGAAAATCACTCACTACGAAAGCAAAAGACTTGGCAGACGATGCAACATCCCCCAATGAAAAGCACGGGTGTCACTAGCACGTTAAGAGACCATACAATAAGTGTCAGGGGCCCGAGACTGTTCATGTCGGAGGATCTCACCTTCAAGGACCATAACATTGTATCAATCGCATCTGCTAGAAAAATGACAGGATATATAATGAGAACCTTCAAAACTAGGGAGGCCAAGCCCATGATGACACTCTTCAGGTCACTTGTTCTATCTAGGCTGGAATATTGCTGCACACTAACAGCACCTTTCAAGGCAGGTGAAATTGCCGACCTAGAAAATGTACAGAGAACTTTCACGGCGCGCATAACGGAGATAAAACACCTCAATTATTGGGAGCGCTTGAGGTTCCTAAACCTGTATTCCCTGGAACGCAGGAGGGAGAGATACATGATTATATACACCTGGAAAATCCTAGAGGACTAGTACCGAACTTGCACACGAAAATCACTCACTACGAAAGCAAAAGACTTGGCAGACGATGCACCATCCCCCCAATGAAAAGCAGGGGTGTCACTAGCACGTTAAGAGACCATACAATAAGTGTCAGGGGCCCGAGACTGTTCAACTGCCTCCCAGCACACATAAGGGGGATTACCAACAGACCCCTGGCAGTCTTCAAGCTGGCACTGGACAAGCACCTAAAGTCAGTTCCGGATCAGCCTGGCTGTGGCTCGTACGTTGGTTTGCATGCAGCCAGCAGCAACAGCCTGGTTGATCAGGCTCTGATCCACCAGGAGGCCTGGTCACAGACCGGGCCGCAGGGGCGTTGACCCCCGGAACTCTCTCCAGGTAAACTCCAGGTATATATATATTGTAATGAGTGAATTAACTTAATGCTGTTTGTTACGCCATGTCCTGTACGGAAGACTACTCGCTGTTTCACTCGTAGGAGGCCCCGAGTTATCGTTTACTACAGACATAATATACAAAGACAGTTGCAACTACGGGAGTACCACCTTGGGGTCACCTACTAGTGAAACACCCTGTACAACAACCAACTACGGGAGTACCACCTTGGGGTCACCTACTAGTGAAACATCATGTACAACAACCAACTACGGGAGTACCACCTTGGGGTCACCTACTAGTGAAACATCATGTACAACAACCAACTACGGG